GAGACTTGGGATATCACGGACAAGGGGTCTAGCTGGGAATCCTGCCTTAGGTGAACCGTATCCCTGACTTTGCAGAGTTTCCTAAGGAACTTGGCGATTTAGGTGGTGGCGTCCTTCAACTTGTAGAAGCCCTGACGTGGTTGAGCCAAGATACAAGCGCTCCCTATATGGGCTTTTATACTAACTTATTGCCCCGGCTCTGTTCCTGACTGGGCAAGTCCGGCATGTGCCCGCCAAGAAACACCTTTCACCCGTATAGAACTTCGAGGTCAGAGGCCTGATGTGGCAGACACCTCGGACTACGATAAAAATGCGATGCCGTCGGGTGCTTGACTTCGGTATGTTAAACCTTGGGCTTCGGTGATCGTTGTTATGCATCTTGCAAGTTGATTGAAGAAGAGTGAGAAGAGAACGAAGACGGTCTATAATTGAAATGCTGAAGATTGAAGTTCTCGGGGAATTCAGGAATGGATATGCTATATACAAGGTGCGACTGCCGTGAGACTACTCTCATACATAAATCTTGCCCTTGCCAACAGTCATTGTCAGACCTCTGTCACGTATTGAGATCGAATACACACAGACTCGTGAAAGGGATTGGTGCGGAGCGGGAATACTGTTCATCTGGTATGATATCGAATGCCTAGATTCTTTTACAGTCATGTTGCTTAGAGCTTCCTTCATCCTTCGGTCCCGGTGATTTCGAGCTGCCGTAGCTGTCTGACCCCGCATCCCCTCCCCCGGACCTTGGTTCTTTTGAAAGGAAGTTGAGCGTGATGAGTGGACATTTATATAAATCCCGGAGTATCATCTCAGGTCTTATCAGTCTCTCATCTTCGATAAACCTTTGCCAAAGACTTTTGACTGTGGTGGATTGAGTGGGAGAGATATGAGGCAGGATATCTATTGTCATATGGCATTCACCGCGAATACCACCATCGTCAGTGACCGAGACTTTTGTCTTTCTGTGCGATCTTCTTCAATTGTTGACATCGTTCACGGCCTCTAGCTCAAGAACGATCCATGCAATACAGCCACATACCTTACTTTTGAACTCCCTGAACCGTTATTCTTTCCATGCACACGCGAGTGTCTCCTTCTAGTTTACAATCCTACTACCATGGCGCGCGTTCCCACTCAGAAATCTCCACTGAATGTTGAGATACTTTCTGCCGCTGATCAAAGAAGCTCAAAAGACCACATCGTTCCCAGGCCAGAGAACGTCATACGCTGCCCCTTCATCCAGGTTGATTGACCCGCCCATCACCGCCAAATTGGCGGGATCGGAAAAGTTCATGTCTGCTGGCCCGATGAATTGCCCCAAGTCATCGAGATCTCGCCACGAGAAGCCTCTGACTAGCAGATCTGGCTGATGAGGGAAAGCAGTCATATTCGAATGCGCATGGCCATGCGACATCCCACCAAACCCTTGATGATGGTCGGCATGTCCACCGAGACCTCCATACCCATTGCTGTTACCGGCACCGGCCGAGCTCGGTACAGTCGGTACATGCACCGACACGGACCCGGACCCTGCGCCATTATGGAGACCGAACGCCGGACACGGCACTCCGGTGTTGGTGGCATCGACGGCGTGGCCGGCCGGACCGGAGATGGTGACGTTGGACTGTAGTGTTGGCCCTTGACTGCGTTGCTGCTGTTCCTCTGGTTTACTGCGCCACAGCAGGGATAGGAGACGTGCATAACGCTGGCCTAGGCTGTGAGGGCTCAGGGACGAGCGTTGGAGGCCTTCGATTGTGACGTTTATTGAGCGGCGGACGCTTTCTGAGGCTTCGCTTCCTAGGGCGCCGGCGAGACGGGCCTACTTACGTCAGTTCACGAAAGGTACGAGAGATGGGGAGAGGGACGGTGGTTGGGTGCCATCGCCGTACCTTGAAGAGAAACACGGCCGCGTAGATCACATAGAGGTAGTACTTTAGCGGCATGTACCTTAACCCAGTAGCCGGATCTACAGAAGAGTTGAGGATGTTAAGAAGAGAGTTGGCGGCGTCCATTGATTCGTAGATGAAGCGGGCGTCGGGGGTGCTGGCGAGGTCTGCGAAGAGGGGGCTGCTGATTGTCGTCGTCGTTGGCGGTGGCGGCGGCGGCGGCGGTGGTGGGTGTCTTGCTGGCGCTTGGGATGCCATCGTTGTCTCGTGTCCGTTGTGTTGTTGTTTCTGATCTTTTGAGGACATGTTCTGCTGTTGATTCTGTTGGTATTGCTGTTGGCTTTGCTGCATCTGTTGCTGTTGCTGTTGCCGGGCTTTGGTGATTGCGCGGTTGATTGTTGCTTGAAAGGCGAAGGCGTTAATGTAGAGGCGGAGGAATTCATAGGAGAGGTTGAGGCCTGCTTTTATTAGGGGCGTGACTGGAGGTGGAGTGCGTTAGTTGCGTTCGTCGATGGAGCGTAGAGCCCGAAGGATGGCTTAAAGGGGTTGTCGACTTACAGTTGAGGCTGCCCCAGACGATCTTCCATTTTCGGAGTACTGCAAAAGAGTCGTCCTATGGTTGTTAGCTGACGAAGGTGAGGGGAAATGGCAATCGAGGGTGATGACTATCGATTGCCAAGTGGAGAGATGGCCAGGGGAACTCGACTTACGATATACCTCACGTACTCTCCGCCGAGGTAAAGCTGAGCTCTATGACTCGATGATGAGTATAGTATGTCATGAGCATTGCTGAAGAGCTGTATCAACTCAAGCTGAGCCTGGAACAGCTGTCCGAGGTTGTCTCCCCCAACTTCCTGTATCCTCAGGGACGGGAAGTCCGCAGAGCGTGGTACTGTTGACGGTCCTGGCCCACGGGACCAGAACCCTTTGCCTACACGGATCGACACTTCCCTGTCACTCATGTAGCAAGCTGATAATCCAAAGACACGAGCGTCAGCACAATTGCACCATGACTTGTCACCGAGGAAAGGCTTACCAGCCCAAACCAACCTCTTCCTCCGAAACGTCTCCGACGACGGGCTTGTCTTATCCGACAACAACCCCGTCTGCTCCAGACTCTGCAGGTACCCCAGCCGTATCGCGACGCCAATCTGCATCCACGCGCCCTCGTCCTCCTCGCCGCGTCCAACAGTAGGCTTCTCCTGCAATCTCTGTGGCGCCCACTGCGCGAGGATGAGCAGGGCCTCGACGGCGCCGACGGTGGTGGACCCTTTGTAGATGAGCTTGGAGATGAGGGTCTCCATGTACCGCGAGCAGGCCTCGTGGACCCGGGTCATGGAGGGCTCGTCTTTGGAGGCGACTGTGAAGATTGCGGTGACGAGGTGGGGTTCTGAGTCGATGAGGGAGGAGACTGTGGCGGGGGTGTGGGTGAGGATGCATTTGTCTGCTACAGGGAAGAAGGGGTGGAAGTGATCGATGTATCTGGTTGTGATTAGCCCGACTCGGAAGTACCTGAGAGGAGGGAAACCTACAATGTGAGTAGACGTGAAGCGACAGGTAGACTCAGAACTCCGTCTGATATTGGCGGGTAAAGTGTTGCCGCAGGTGTAGATGGTTTGCGTGACCCTTTCCTGGGACTGCACTTATCCCTACCCGGAGCATCACTCACAGACAGGTGCCGCATATCGTCACGCCGTTCCTCCCCATCGAGGTCAGCAACCTGCGCCAGGAGGTTAAGCGCATCTGAAGGGTTCAACAGGTCGCTCGAGGTGATGTGGCCCTCGATATCGCCGGAGCTCTTGAGGGACCGGGTCGACCGGCCGCCGGGGCTGTCCGGCTGAGAAGTGGAGCCGGGCCAACTCGCCGGCCTCTCTACCGGCCCGTCGTCGTCCTCTTCGGGGGAGCACGACCAGGGCTCACCGCCGTCGTTGAGGTGCCGGGAATCCGCCGGGCTGGTGGAGCGCCGGTGGTGCATGTGTTGGTCTTCTCGGAGGTTCGTCGCCGAGGAAGTGCCGACGTCACCACCTCCCGGTCTCAAGTCATAGGCTGCCGGGCCGGTTACGGCGTCCGAGTGCTGCGGTGGTTGTTGATGCGGGAAGGTGATGGCATCGCCCTCACTTTGTGGTAAGCGGACGAACTTACGGGGCCGTCGACCGCCCCTTCTTGATGTTGCCAGGACGCATTCCTTTTGTTCTCTTACACAGCGACGGCAGGGTGGTATACCTGGGTTACCACCATAATCTCTACATGAGGGGGTAACAATGTGGTGTTAGTCAAAAGACGAGCTGGGCCTTGGTAGACGTTCCTCATGAGTTTCGAACCAACCACTCGTGTCTCTTAACCCAATTCCCGGCCTGCATGCCGTGGGATGTTGGTGTACATTTGTGTTCATGGACATAACTCATATGAGAGAGGGGTCATTGGTACGAAGAAAGAAGTTTGCTCACAAGTCACATCTCGTCTTCCTGAGCCGGCAGGAGACACAAGCCCTCGATACCCGCCTTTCTTTCCCAGTAGCCGTCACCGCGTGAGGCAGGCGGTGGTGCTGCTGCTGATGCGGGGGACTGACCATCGTCGTAGAAGGCCGGCGGTCGGTGACGGGGGCGGCGGCAGCGGTGTCCACAGACATGGTGTTGCGATTATTACGTCGGCGACTCGGTGTGCTCGGTTTCTCCTCCTTCTCCTCCTCCTTTTCGGTCCAAGCGTGTGGGCGTGAGGGGGCAGCGGCGGCGGCGGAAGCGGCAACGGCAGCGCGCGGTGAATGTCGGGCCACCGCGGCGGTTGGTGATGGACCGATGGTGTTTGGATTGAGTGGAGCACAACTGAGGGGGGACTCTGGGGACTCTGGAGGCGTGAGAGCCCGGATGCGAAGGGGGTAAAGAGAGCATCGGCACGGCAATCCAGGGTTGGTCGTCCGTCATCCACGGAAGTACGGCAATGTGGCTGGCTTGTTTCGGCGATAGTTGGGGGGGGTTTTAATGTTTTTTCTGTCTAGCGGTGGTATTGTCGGCGTAAAATTCGATGCATGACGCACCTTTTGACGGTGAAGGTTTACGCACTACCCTGTTTTGCGACTCTCAAGACTTCACAAATGTATACTTTTAAGGAGTAGGGTATAATTCGCAGGTCTTACCGATCGAGAGCTAGCTCGTCCCCAAAACCCCTCTTCCTTTGAACTTTGAGTTTATGGCGGCACAGCTGACTTCTAAGGGGGAAACGGTAGGGAGTACTTGACAGCACTCTAGGATCTGCACTAATACTATCCGTACCTATCCGTACTAACTAGCATAGTAGTAGCTGCATAGGATTCGAGACCCTGTTGAACTCTACACAAGGTTGGTCTCAACATCCATGTCCAATCGCGTGGATATCACCAACAAGACAAAAACTCCTGCTCGTCATCTGCGACGAAGCAGAAAAGTTCCCATTTTCTTTTCCCAAGTAATAGCGTTCCATTCGGCGAACAATCTCTATTTTGCCTCGGTGGGTTAGAAAAGTCTCGGAGTCTCCTCCCTCTCGTTCGGCACTCATTTCAACCCGCCGGCGAGGACCAGCTCTTGGCCAGTAAGATATCCAGTCTTGACAAACCTGGGGGCGGACGGCGATCACTGGTCAGCACAAATTGAGAAAAAACAAAAGAGCACCACAATAGTTCCCGCCGGTCAGTTCGGTAACTTACATTACGACTACGTTTGACACTTCCTCGGGAGCGCCTAATCTGTGGACCGGGACGCTGGCAGCAATGGCCAGCCCCGGATCTGTGGACCTCAACTCCTCAAGGTCATCTTTACTATCCCAGGTTCTATAGGGTGCTCATGTCAGTAAAATGCCAAGACGGGACTATACACGACAAATGTCTGCTGCTCACGTTGATTTCGGAGTGGCAATCATGCCAGTGGCCCCAATCATGGCGGGCAGCACCTGAGAAGCAATGTCAGCACAGCCCAAGCAACAGTCCATACTTCACTTCGACCCTCGGCCCGAAGACGATGAAAGTTGAGGCTTACAATATTCACGGTAACACCCTCCGGTGCCAAGAACGTGGCCAAATTAAGACCCATTGAGCTGCGGCTTAGAGTTAGACAAGCTTCGGCCCCCATTTCTCGGTCTCGCCGTAAACCACCCCAGAAGACCGGGACATCCCGTCGGGGAACTAATTAAGAAGATATACGAACATGCCAAGTGCGGATAGGCACATCCCAAAAGGCAACAAGAAAAAGAGGACTGGGAAACTACTCACCAGAGAGCACCCTTGGTAGCGGCGTAGTGGCACCCGTTGATTCCCCCACCGCGGCTCGCAATGCTGCCCACGAGAACGACACGGCCCCACCCCTGAGCGCGCATGCCGGGCAGGCAGGCCTTTGTCACGACGAACTGGCTGCGGGCGTTGACCTCCATCATCTCGTCCCAGTCGTCCTCGCCAATGTCCGCCGGGTCGCGGATCCGGCGACCGAGTCCGGCGTTGGCGACGAGCACCGAGACGGCCTTGTGCTTCTGCGCGACATCGCTGTTGGCGAAGATGCCGGGCACCAGGTTCCGGGTCGATTCCCTGGAGGAAAGGTCGGCCTGAAAGGGGACGAAGAGCTGCGATGGATACTTGTCGCGCAGCTGTTGAGCTAGAGCATCCGCCTTCGCCTGTTCTGGATGTTAATATACCGAAGAGATTAGGCCCGTGGTTTGCGTGGGTGGCCTCACGGGCCGTAGACCCGTACGGTTCCCCGTGCACCCCGTGGCCCCCTCCCCATCTATCATCGGTGATGCCGTACCTGACTTGACGAATAGTGTAGTGCGACATCGCAGCCCTCTGCGGCGAGAGCATGGGCAACAGATGAGCCTATGCCACCACTGATCGCCGGTGAAGATTATCTGGTCAGCGGGAACATACGATGACAGCCTCACTAGCGGAGGGGTTCAAGGTGGGATGGCCACTTACCTCGCCCCTGTCACTAGAGCTAGGCGGCCCTGGGTGGTGTTGTCTGTGCTTCTAATGCTGTATTGGACCATCTTGACAGTTGGACCCTTGTAACAGACCTGCAAGCGGTTCGAGACTTTTGGTATGCACCTTGAAGATAGGTAGGTAACAGAGCACGAGCTATTCCTGTTCGAGAGGTACTCGTCGGCGTCGTGTCTGGACTGGGATATCTGGGCTATTCCGTAGGTACGGAGGTAGACATCCAAAGGTTTAGATGAGTTGGTTCATAAGGTCGATTGAGAGGGCCCTGAATGAGGGGTTGGGAGAGGCGCGGATCGAAGGCCGAGCTTTGATAGCCGAGAATGTTCAATTGCCGCCGCTATCGGTGACAGTAAACTGGAGCATGAATCGCGGGTGGCACCAAACATGCCACAGCACATCGTATTGTTCTCGTGTAAAGGGAATGGCAAAGACGCCCTTTTCTAGTTAGGGACACTATTTGATGGCTACTGCAAGGCAATTGAGAGCTTTCGGCAAATGAACATTGAACAGCTGACCTGGATCCATCTCTATAGTGTATTGGCAATTGCTGACCTTCAAGTCTCTTGAGTATTGTCAATTGCCGACTTTGAGGTCGTGACGCGGTCACAAAGAAGCTACAACGCCACGAATGCGTACCAAAAGTCCAAACTTTCAGTAGCCGACGCGTCTCACCAGCAGAAACTCTGCCTGCATCGGTTATCCAGAAAGCCACTCTTTTGCTTGCGTGTCAACATTTGAATTGCCGTCCGATGAAGCAAGTTGCTAAGAAAACTCTGACGCGATTGGTCTCGAGATGGCTCAGACGGCATTCGACGTCTCCCCTTTCCGCAGTGAAACCCCAAACCCCCCGCAGAAATGCTCTACCCCGTGTTGTGTGGATTCCCGGGGAAGTGGTACTAAACGCGTCGATCTTGATACTTGGCGTATGATCACGAACTATCCGATCGTTTCTGAAATTGTGTCCATGTGTTTATAAACGTTCACAGAGAACCTTCGGACGACAGCTTTCGCGGGGAAGCGTTCTGGTTCAGTTCAGACAGTGAGCTTACCGCACGCTCAAGGTGCAAGAGCCGCTTCTTTTCTACACGCCATACTCTTTCAACTCCTGAGTTTACAGAGACGAAACTCTTTACTCAAGATGGGTGAACTTCGAGGGCAGCGGCTTGTCTTGGCCGTCAGCGTTCTTACATCGTTGGGTTTTATGCTCATTGGTTATGACAATGGCCTCATGGGAGGCTTGGGTAGGTTAACTCTACAGACTACAACGAGCTGCCAAGAGTTGGATCACTTTCTAACAGTTCTCTTTAGTCAATGCCCCGGCATTCAACTCGACGTTCGACTCTCCGGATCCGACCATGACAGGCCTCATTGTGGCAATCTACGAAGGCAAGTTGACTTGACGAGGGGACTCGAAGTCCACTATTGCGGTCAACTGACTGTGGTATCTCTAGTTGGTTGTTTCTTTGGTTGTGTAGCAACGGCGATATTCGGCGAGAAGTACGGCCGCCGGAAGACCATTGGAACCGGTTGCTCTATCATGGTCGTCGGTGCTATCATCCAAGCTGCTTCATACGGACGCGCCCAGATGATTGTCGGGCGAATCGTCTCGGGTGTCGGAATGGGCATCGTCAACTCCACTGTACCTGTCCTTCAAGCCGAATTCAGCCCCAAAGCAAGCCGTGGCATTTGTAAGTTGGAACTTTCCCGTAGATGCAGCTGAGGTTGCAAGGCATCTCGACCGACTTTAAAGTCAGGAAACTGTGTAGACCTTTGCTAACCTCACGAATTACAGACGTCTGCGCACAACTATCTACCCTAAACTTTGGAATCTTCCTCATCTACTGGATCGACTACGCTTTCTCGTCACACCTTGAAAGCTACGCCTGGAGAGTCCCGGTTGCTCTGCAGTGCATCTGCATCCTGCCGATGTTCATCATTCTGCAAATCATACCAGAGACCCCACGATGGCTTGCGGCACACAACCGATCAGATGAATGCCTGGCCGTCCTGAAGCGCCTCAAGTGTGACGAGGACGAGGACACAATTCTTGCTCTGCACAACTCGATCACGCAAACGGTAACGTACGAGGCCGAGAATAGCGCGAGCTCGTGGCGAGATCTCTTGGTGCAAGACCGTATTCAGAGCCAGAGGAGATTTCTCATTGCGTGTTTCTTGCAAGGCGCACAGCAGCTCGGAGGAATCAATGCTATCATCTGTGAGTCATATTCATAACTAAAATCGTTTCTTTCTATTTTGATTCAGGTATACTGACAGCTGTCCTTTTTGAAGACTACAGCGGCACTCTCTTTGAGAAGAGCATCGGATTCGATAGCCACATGTCGAGTCTCATGTCTGGATTCTTACAGACTTGGTTCTTCGTTGCCTCGTTTATTCCATGGTTCTTGATCGATCGCGTGGGCAGGCGACCCTTGGTAAAGATTCATCCCCCCTTCATTTCCCCAAACCGTGGTGGGAAAAAGTCAAATTAACGAGATACGACAGCTCTTGTCCATGATTAGCGTCATGGCGGTCGTCATGGCAGTTCAAGCAGCTCTTATCTACCAGGTCCAGAACTCTACTGCCATCGCCAAATCAGCTGGCATTGGCGCTGCGGCAATGCTGTTCGTTTTCCAGGGTGCCTTTACCATCGGCTTCCAGGCAACCGTCTGGGTTTACCCGTAAGTCTCCTCATCTAGCTGTTCTACCCTTCGTGTGGAGTCTTTGCGCTAACTGCCGTGCTCGTATTACAGGTCGGAGATTTTGCCTTTGCGGATTCGGCAGCTCGGCTCGTCTATTTCCAGTGCAACCAACTGGATTTTCAATTACGTGAGTCACCTTGCGATCGAGATAAATGAGCGTTTTCTTACCAACTTGAAAGATGGTTGTCCAAATTACTCCGATCTCTATCTCGAGTATTGGATGGCGCACTTACATCATCTTTGCGGTTTTGAACGCGGCGTGGGTACCCGTCATCTACCTGTTCTTCCCCGAAACCAAGGGATTGGAGCTGGAGGATGTTGATCGCCTGTTTGCCGGCGATGACTTTGAAAATACGATCCATGACAGAGACAGCAAGCATGAAGTCTGGGATATCGAAGATGTCAGGGCGTGATTGTGGTAGCTGCTGGGTTAAGACTCAAAAAGCACAGATTGGAAGCCATTGCGGCAAAACGAAAAAGGGGGCATTGAACGTAGATTTGCTGAGTGAACTTCATGTGAAATTCTTGGTATGAATAAGAGCAGAGTTCTAAAACCGATCATCTGTGATATGGTATCTTTTACGTTCGTTAGCAGTCTTCATGCAGTTGCTCTGGCACGGCCAAGACGAGCCAGTCTCAAAAAGTGGACGGAATGCTATCTTCATGGCTCAACTGGCGAGAAGACCCTCTTCTGGGTAAAATTGGTATTTGATAACTTCTCTGAGAATCTAGAAATCCATCTGAGGGAGAAAGCTCTCGATGCTCATCGACCTCGATACATGAAGGACTCGAACTTCCCGCATCCTGACTCGGTGACGCGGCTTGGACTACAACTAGCATGGTAACAGTCTACACTCTACAGCAACCGGTTGGCCTCCGGTGAAACTGAAATTATGTTGACGTGCAATCCTTGAGTGGACTAATACAATCAATATTCGTAGGCCCTCGTTGTGTAAACGCCGACCCGTGACTATGCACGTGAGGGAGACGCAGCTCTTGAGACATTTGCCGAACGCAGGCCGAACGCTGGCCACAGACCCACGAACTCTATCCTGTGACAGGAACAGGTGCATCGTGCCCGCAATCGTGCCCCGCATCCGTGCGACCTGGAGACACAAAAACACGCCAACTGATTGCTCTTCAACCGCCGTCCAACCGTTGAACGTCGACGCCAAGAATTCCCGCAGTACTTCTCGAAGAACCTTCTTGGCAGTTGAAGGAAATACGACGTTCATATTAATCAGCTCACCGCATAACTCATCTTCAGCTTCTCGCAATGGCAAACTTTGTCGTCTACGACGACCGAGTCAAGAAGCTGTTCGGCTCCGCACCGTCGCTCGAGTTGTTGCACGAGAACCAGGACTACCCTTTCGCTCATGAGGCAGGCGTCTTCATCGAGCGCAACAATACGCTTTTCATTACCAGCAACCAGTACAACGACCATGCAGCCGGCGGTCGCAAGATCCAGATCTGCCGCGTCACGCTGCCGTCTGATGGCAGTTCCAAGACGAAATGTGAGGAGATCAACCCCGCCATTATAACGATGGCCAACGGAGGCGTCAACTACCTGGACGGGGTCGTCTTCTGCGCCCAAGGCACGCACTCCGCGCCTGGAGGCCTGGTATTCATGGAGGCGGAACCGCCCTACCAGACCCGTATGATGGTCAACTCGTTCCACGGACGGGAGTTCAACTCTGTCAACGACGTTGTGGTGCACAGTGACGGCTCTCTGTGGTTCACCGACCCGATTTATGGCTATGAACAGGGTATCCGGCCGAAGCCGAAGCTTCCCAACCAAGTTTACAGATATGATCCCATCCGTGGGTCGATTAGGGCCATGGCTGATGGCTTTGGCCGGCCGAATGGTATTTGCTTCAGCCCCGACGAGAAGACTGTGTACATTACGGACACCGACTGGATTCATGGCGATGGCTCCACTGATCTCACACGAGCGTCAACAATGTGAGTCCTCACTGCGTGGCTTCACCAGCTAGGGTACGACACCTCTATGAGATTAAATGAACTAACAAAGATTAACAGTTACGCATTCGATGTGGTCCCCTACTCAGGCGAGCCCTTTTTGACAAACAGGCGTCTCTTTGCCATGGCTGATACCGGCATCCCGGATGGCATCAAGTGCGACGTGCACGGAAACGTGTACAGCGGCTGCGGTGACGGTGTCAACATCTGGTCTGCAGGAGGTGTTTTGCTAGGAAAGATTCTGGTTCAGGGTGGTGCTGCCAACTTCTGCTTTGGCCGCAATGGAGAAATCTTCATTCTGAATGAGAACCGATTGTGGAGGGCCAAGTTGGCAGATGATACGAAGGGCGCATTACTGTGTATCTAAGCATATATACAAGCATGGTCTCGGTGTAAAATAGACGCACGAGCCTCAAAGAACTGAGAACAGCGTTTCTATCTACTTCTTCTGTTCCAACAGCCACTGAATACCCTTGAGAGTATCTTCCACGAAGGTCCTGCTCTTCTCCAGCAGTGGCCAATTAGTCCAAAAGTAGTGAGGCAGCCCGGCGTAGATATCAAGCTTTGTCTTGACCCCAGCTTCCTCTCTCAACACCCGCTCATAGATGAGGCCCTCGTCCCGGAAGGGATCCAGCCCAGCCAGCTGGAAGTATGCAGGTGGCAGCCCCTTGTGACCTTGACTGATTCTGCCATAGTGAAACGGAATAAAGAGAGGACTCTCCACGTCGGGCTGGATGATAGCACGCAGTGCCGCTTCCCCATCACCGGTGGTATTGCCTATGACGGGGTCTTTGCATGGCGTGACGGAGGGGTGGCTGAGATACTCGGGGCGATACCTTTCGGGTATGGATTCGGGAGGAGCGAGGCACATGATAGCTGGGACGCAGAGGTATTGTCCCGTGAGCGGCGGGGAGAGATTGTTGTCGCGTGAGAGGTGGGCGAGGACAGCTGTGATGTTACCGCCCGCGGAGCCGCCACCGATGATGAAGCCTTGAGAAGGGTCTGCGCCTAGTTCGGTTGCGTTCTTAGCGGCCTGGGACACGATTCCTGGTCAGTCATAATACAATTATGGAGATGGTACACATGAGCTACCCATTGCAACGCGTCCCAGCTGTCATTGACACCGGTTGGAAAGGGGAATTCGGGAGCGAGTCTGCTTTAAGTCAGTGTCGATACCAAACATTAAGGTTCAGGCCGTAAGCTAACCGATACTCGACGTTGATGCAAACTGCGCCGAGATCCCTACTGAACAGGCGGCAGTTAACCTCTTCATCGGAGAGATCACCCATGCACCACCCGCCTTCGTGATACATAACAATGAGCGGGCTGCCCTTAGATGGGGCGTTCACAGGGGTGTAGATCCGAATGGCGATCTCATGGCCGTCACTCATGGTGACCTTGCGGTCTTCCTCGCGAACCTGCTCCGGAATGGGGCCGGGGAGGTATCGCAGGTGATGGGACTCACGCAAGCGCGTCGCTCGATGTTCTCGCATCGCGAAGAAGTCATTTCGTCCAAAGTAAGGATCTCCACGTTGCGGGTCACGGAGAGGCCGGGCAGCGAGTTCCTGGCGAAGGAGTCATGGTGTTAGCATTTATGCATGCACTGAGAAGATAAAGGTTAGTGGATTGTAAGCTGGCGTGAACTTACGGCCTCGATTGACGGATCGACTATGCCATAGGCGAGGAGTTCTTCACGAGTTCGCGGTGTCATAGCTCACAGTTTCGTTCAAATCAGTAAATCAGTCTAGCGAGTTGCTGAATGTGGTTCCAGATGAACTTTTGCGGTGTTTTGCGGGGATGTAAGCTGACGGAGCCCGTTGTGGACGTGGCACGTTGGAAACTTCAACGCTAATGTTGAGAAGGATCTCAGATTATCTAATCAGTAAAAACACAATGGAACGACTTGTATTGAGCATTGAATCGAAGTACAATTCAAAACTTGTCTTGGTTGAGATAAGCATACTTACTACCTTACCCGATGAATTCGTAGTCTGCCCTATTCCGCGTAGTGCAATCGGAAAGAGGACGCCTTGGTTGCCTCAAGTAACATAGCCCACACAAAGGTGGTTTCAAATCCGTGTACAAACGGCAAATGCACACATTCGCGGAAAGATTTGAGATAGATCGCCTTTGATGGGAATAACATCTTTGATGGTACGGCTAATCGATCCAGACTATATTAGCTATGTCAAAAGAAGAGAGGCCGGGACTATTGTGATCCATCAACCAGTCGTCTGCTATGATATCCTATGCGTCGCAAGATGTATAGATGACTGTAAAGAACAACAAGCACCTGTTGGTGTTGTGTTTCATACTAAGGGAGGCGTCCAACACCATTGGCCCCAGTGAATGGGATTGTCATCGAGTTTTCGGCCCCCAAGGCTTCTGAGCGAGGGTTCAAGAGACAAGGGGCTTCGAATCACCAAGGAAACGGTCGAGAAAGCGATTGACCGAGCTGTCCACACCGATCAATTGGCTGGCACACGACAAGGCGACCAGTTGCCTTGCCAAGCCCTGGAAGAAAGGAACCCAAAGTCGACGCGGACGCGCCACCAAGCACGCGTGATGTACTAGATACCCTTGCCAGAAGTGTAAACAGCCTACACACCTCTTCTTTGGGGCCAATAGAATTAAGAGCTAATATCGGATCGTAGGACATGTCTCGCGGATTGCTGCATTTTGCCACCTTGAGGAAAGTGATTTCCGATGGACTCAAATGCTGGGAGACCGTGAGACGTCTGTAAGAGTCTCTCGAAAGGCACTGTCGAAGTGATGGTTTTGTTGAAACTCCAGTCTCGCGCCCAGAAACTTTAAGCCTGGAACGGCGAAAAGTGATTATTCAGGGAATTACTTGTGAACTGCAAGTTTTGAAGGCTGCGTCTGCCAGTGCGGCTGTAATTCCAATGACCCTTCACTTCCTCGAATGCCCCAGCCACCCGTCCTACCACTAAGAGAGACTGATGGGATTGATCAGGGGTTTGGATGTATCAGCACGACAGATCGTCGGTAATATCTCAGTGAGGTCTGTTGGAAGATTGTTGCAGCTACTAGCCAAAGAAGACCCTGTCCACGATGCGACGTGTCTCCTGCATCCTGCCACACCCTCACGAAGTCACGGCTAGGCAGAGCCATTGATTTGTCTACATTTCACGATACTGTCGAGAGAAGAGATTATCGAATGGCCGAAATTAATCCAAGAAGGAGAACAAAAGGATATGACCATTAGGGCTTCAGATGTCGCTGTTATCGTGGGTTAGCCTCCGATTTATTAGGGCCCCAAAAAGCCAACAGCTATCTCATGCTCCCCTTTGACTTTGCAGAGTCGGGTTAGGACTTAGAGGACCGCGCCTCGCACTCTTTCCTTCACTTTCTCCTCCTTTTCAGATTTTCTGCACGTCTTCAACCTGGATGAGACGCGGTGGTCTTGCATATCGCAACTCTTCATCGTTTTCTAAAGTCTTTTTAGAACGCCCCGAGTAAGTGAAAATTGTCAAAAAGACTCTAGCCATTCTTAACAATGTACAAGCGAGCGGTGGACAATCGATTTGATTGATCAAATCAGTTTGACCGAAGTACTCAGGCTGGCGGGATCGCGGTCCGCTAGCTAGATTACTGTCAATTATTGAACTACAAGAGCTAACTTCATAGATACGCAGAGGCCTATGACTTCGTCAGAGATGGAACGCGGTGGGGAGAGACATACGTCGCCCGCCAAGAATCCCACGTTTGTCAATAGTGTCTCCGTCAAGCCCGTCCAGCACTCGGCCGAGCACAGGCCTGACGACGCCGAGGCGGATATATCACAAGGTTTGACGGAACCTCAGCCTTCTCCTAGGGCAGAGCAGTGAGTCCCAAAACCATTTTACGCCCTTTTGCTTCTGACCAGCTAAGTTTATCTCTGTAGGCTCTCTGAATTCTCACGACTCCGAGCCTCAAGCACAGTTGCTGCACAATGCGGCTCTTCACGATCGACTCAAGCCTCACATGGAGAGCGGAGCGCAACTTCAGAAATCGATCAAATGCAGGGCTCGAAGGACCCGAAAGACTCGAAGGACCTGAAGGAGCAACGAGCTTCAGATAAAAGTAGCTATCGAGAGATTATGGAGGAATTGGTTAAACAGGCTGGCAGTCACCTTCATAACCAGAATAAGGAACCGAGCCAGGATGAGTTCGATATATCTTTTGAACGACTAACTAAGGTGTCACGAGAGCACAACAGCTCCAACTAGCAGCCACACTTTCAAGAGAACAAGAACTTAGTGTAGGAATCAACCACAGAACAGATGTTGTCCAAAATCGAAACGGTTCACTATCCACTTCACCGTCGGGGGCCTACCGTTGTCGACGGCTGTCGCGGCTCACGAGTCAGACCGGGATCCATTTTGCACCCAATCCACACTTTGATGGAGTCTTTCTGCGCCCTACGTCATCAAATGACATCATGCCGTCGCAGAACCGTTGACCGAAGGTTTTCGGTCCTTTTCGCAGCCTCCCGTTGGTCATCTTGAAGAGAATCAATGGGCGGGCCGATAGAGTGTTCCTTTCGAGGTCTGCCCCTCCAACCCCTCGATGTGGGTCATATCGGAAAGAAGCGTAGAGAGGAATGCCATTTCACAGCCTCATGTTGTAGACACTTGTCAAGTGCCAGATCAAGAGAAGAGAAGAGATGCCATCTATACCAGGTAATTGAGTACAGTTTCGGAGGGATTGTCAGGAACATCCTTGAGCCTTCCTGTCCACGCATTGCTGTCATTGGCAACGAAGCTTGCGATAAGACATCCTCGACAGGGAAGTAAATGCAGTGCCGTATTCCTGAAACCTGTCTGCGCTCTTTTTTTTTGGAACCCACTTGCCCCTCCATCCATGATCCGCCCAGGGACCGTCGCGTTGTTCCTGAAGATGACCCCCCACCTTTCACAAGCTCGCCGATCATTGAAAATCTGTCACCAACAGTAACAAAGTTTCTTTCTTCCCTCTCTTCACTCTGTTTTCTCCCTCATATCTTCATTTTTAGAATTGTCATTCCATATCCTTCAAGATGCCTCAGGTAAGCCAAAATCCCAGCTTCCATGGGTAAACATAATGAGCTATCTCAAGGTCATTCTATCTAACCGCTCTCATGACAGATCAAGTGCCTTCTCTTCGACTGCGATAACACGCTCGTTCTCTCCGAGAACGCTGCGTTTGAGGCCTGCGCCCAGCTCGCCAACCAGATCCTCGAGAAGTTCGGGTTCGAGAAGCGCTATGGCGGCACCGAGCTTATGCACCAGTTCGTCGGTCAGAACTTCCGCAGCATGATGACCGGCCTCTGCGCCCGTCACGGCTTCACCATCCCCGCCGACGAGTTCGACCAATGGGTCGCCAAGGAGCTCGACACAACCATTGCGAACCTCCGCGCAAAGGCTGAGCCCTGCGAGAACGTCATTGAGGTCCTCGAGAAGCTCCAGAAGGACAAGAAGTACCACATGGCCATCGTCTCCTCCTCCGCCATGCCTCGCGTTGTCGCCTCCATTGAGAAGACCAAGATGGACCAGTTCTTTGACAAGCCCGACGTTGGCATCTTCTCCGCTGCCAGCAGCATCGACCCCCCCGTCTCTAAGCCCAACCCGGCCATCTACCTCCACGCCTGCGAGAAGCTCGGCTACAAGCCTAGCGAGTGCATCGCCATCGAGGACAGCAGAAGCGGTGCTACCGCTGCCAAGAACGCCGGCATTCCCCTTTTGGGATACGTCGGACCCTACTACGAGGAGGGCCAGGAGAAGCTGGACTCCATGATTAAGCTCTTCAGCGAGGAGCTCGGCGCTTTTGATGTTATGCACAACTGGAAAGACTTTGAGAGCATCTTGGCCAAGTACGAGAGCTCATAGATACCCGGATACTGTTTAGACCTTTTTTGAAACGAATGGAAGCGCGGCATAGGCTAAAAGCTGCGTGAATGGCATGTCACACATATACTTATAGAGCTTGGAAAAATAGACACGAATTGAACGAGTAACAATCCACAGTGTCTCCTCAGGCGGCTAGTCTGAAGATTGCCCGTGAGAAAACGTCGGTCTATATGTAACACGTAATAACGACCTGAAAACAAGAGACCGGGCGACATCACGCCCCGGCTACGGTAATCGTAGTAGTAATTCTTACCGTGACAATCATTGTCTGGGACGGGTCTATCATTTGAGCTGGCTCAAATGTCATTCCAGGCGCAGGCGCTGTAATCACACTTGCCACCGTCAAGATATTTGTGATGGAGTCTACGTCGCGGCAACAGCAAGCTGCATCGAGTGACCCTTTGCCATCCTTGCCCCCCCTCAAAGCCAAGCCACCCACAATGGCGGACACCACACCAGTCAAAGATGATATCAGAGTTAGCACTAGAGCGATGACAGCTACCCAGTATAGAGTCAGTTCACGGTAACGCCGACGGTCACGCAAGAATTGCCTCAGAGTTCTTGGAGATGAGTTTGCAAACTCCTTTTCCAAATCTAGCAGTCGTGGGAGCCAGTAGTGATAATCAACTTTACGCCTTGAGGCAAAAGGCAGCCGTCCGGCACGGCGGTCGATGGCAGGTAGACTGTTGCGTGGCAAATTACGCTGCATCTTCTTGCTGTATTTCGTAAACCAGCTGTGGGTGTCTTTTTCGTAAGATGGGAGCAGTAAAGCCAATGTCCGAATAGTCTCTTCAAGAAACTTCGGATCGTCGAAATGAACACTTTGCCCTCCAAATTAGTATTGCTCATCATGTTTTCTTAATTATTGTTTAGGACAGGCTATTGGCTAACCTATTTAACGGCTCATTCCATGTCTGTAGCTTGGAAATAGCATAGACATTGAAGAAAACGTACACGGTGGGTCGCATCTTCCTGTTCCGGTGTTTTTGCACTAAAAGATGTTGAAATAGATTGTCGGTAGGCTGTATGACAAAATCGCCAAGTGTGTGCAAGTCGCGTAGAGTAAGCGTGCTTGAAAAGACTTGATCAGGTGGTGGCGAAGTTATGTCTTGATGACCGGGCAGAATGAGTCGAAAGGCGTCAGTCATTGGAGTGCGAGCGCCTTCCCAGGCGAAAATGTGTTCACCTGGCGTTCGGCTCAAGCCAGCTATGTTGTAGCGACGCAATAGCCAGACATCAACGGCGAAGTCGATGGAATTATAGGCTGCAGGAGGCTTGGAAGCAGTGTTAGTACAAGTTGGGGTGCTCCAGGACACATCAGTTGCCACAAGACTTGAACTCTTAAACAACAATCTTGAGAGGGAACACATACTACAGGCACATTAAGTTCCAGTGGATCTGTAAACCATCGATTGCATAAAATCCTAGCATATTGTCCGATCTCTTCGCGAGGCTGATTTCGGTTCTGTTGAATCAAATCGATCAGATCAACCAAGTGGCGGAAGTGACGAATTACGTGTAGACTCTCGGAAAAGACTTGCAGCTTTGCCTCCAAGGCAAAGACATAGCTGTCAAGCTCGGAAGCTGGTCTATCACATAGCTTAGAGTCAACCCAAGTCTAGAGAGGGAATGTTTCTTTGGTTATACAACCCTTCATGTCTAGTGTAATCTGATCGCCATATACGACCTGCTAGAACCTTGGCCAGCTCGTCCGAGATGTGGGCACCTTGTAACCTGCAGTCGAGTACTTGTTGACTCATTTGAAGGAGGTGAAGGCGACGAGAAGAAGAACTAGATCCTTGCTTGCACAAGAAATTTGATCCGGCTTTTGAAAAGTTGGACTTGCAGAATCAGGTGCACCTTAAGAGAGATTATATTCTCCAGAACCACGCGGTGAGAAACCAAGAAAATACCTAGCGTAAGAAGTGATATTCGGCATCCCGCCCTTGACATCTTGGTGGGATTGGACTGATGCAATATGCAAATAGAAGTCATAGCCGCATGAATATTGAAAATCAGCGCTGAAGTTCTGAGACTTACCTACTGGTACGAAAACAATCGACCAATGTTTGGATAGGATCTGGAGAACTTCATGCTCTATGTTAGTAGCCTGCTCGAAAGGCGCTCTGGATATGTAAAGTCGATTGGTCACGCCGTGGGTTGTGACGCACCTCGATGGGAAAATGTTTTTCAGGCGTGTCAGGTCTGAATTTCTATTGGCGAATGACAGTAAAAAGAGATTTGTATGGTAAGTCGACGTCCAGAACAGGGTGCAGCTGACCACAGCCTGATTGCACGGGATGTGTTGATGTGGTGGTGGCAGTGATTTACATAAACAAATCATCAGAGGAATTTGCAAGGCACAATAAGCGGTGGCGCTGCGCATGTGCGCGCCTTTGACCGAAAAAAGTCTGAGCTCTAAAATATTCATCAGTCCCTCTCGCGGAGTGTCTCCGCAAGGGCGGCAAGGCGTATTTCAGGCCCGATATATATAGTGCCTGTAGAGGCGGACATCCTTTGGGGCCACATCGTCAATATGGAAGTGTCCAAATCTACGTTATCGTCACCAAGTTTCAGAGAGCATTTCAGCCTTGAGTAGGAATCCATCATCTCATGACTTTCAGCTATGTACCTCACTGGAAGGAGAAGATCGGTGCGCGAGCAGACCGGCGGGGAATCAATCAACAAGGCAAATTTCAGCACCCTGCGCCAAAATTCATCATACTTACGCGGCGGAGACTCATAAGTCTACTATGCTACAAAACACAAGGCGCATACTCAGATTCCCGACCTCATGTTGTTCAGAGCGAAGAAGAATACTCTGTCAACGGCGAGACCATGTGGTCGCTGAAGCCAGGATCGAACGCCGAGACCTCTTGGTTTCAATTGGAGAAGACAATAGATTCTTTCATCGCAGTCACCCCAGTCGACGAATATCATTTCACTCCCAAAATCGTTGCTGAAGCATACGAAATGGGACGAGAAAAGAACAAAACACAACCAACAGTGCTCATCAGCTGCTCCTCCCAATCTTACGGAAATGAAATGGCAAAGACATTGCGGAGGAGCGGAGTGCTCGAGACTCACTCAACTACCTTCCGGGTGCTGGTTCGTCCTTAGTTATGTTGTGGAGATTAGATGGTCTACCTTATTACGGGATATACTTGAGTAGAGCCATTGTGTATCTAGGTAGGAAATTAGTTGTGAACATAAAATTCTCATCTGTCATTCTATTGGGTATTAGGCCAACCATGTTGAAGATTTACGCGGAAGAAACAGGTCAAAGGGAATATGGGCTTTGCTTAGGGTATGCTTAGATCTCTCGTCAAGCTTCGAATTGCAACTAAAAACCAATCAAATGACCATGTTGCCGATTGAGCAAGCTCGCTACATGTACTCATTTGAAAAGGTCTCATGAGAAATAGCTCTTGAAAATGCAGCGGACAGACACGCGTTATTAGGAATAAATAAGGGATATTTGTTGCGACCAAGAGCTCGCTTCTATTGACATCGGAGACACAAATATATTAATTAGTGGATGGGGATTTAACCGTGAGAAAATGACTTATTGAGACGGTGTCAGCTCGGAACAGGCTGGAAGTAGGTGAAAACTCAACTTTGGAAACTATATTTTCACATTCGCAGGGTTGTGAGATTCTATAATACAGGATTTGACCAAGGGAAGCTTCTAGGTAAAGTAGTTGCTAAACGAAGCACGTCATTCTCTCACAAACAAGGTTTCTAGATCGAACTTCTGGTCTGTGTGCCGCCGTTTGAAACCCCGCGGGGCCGCACTAACTCCATGTGCAGTCGGTACCGATGCGGCATTTCCTTTATCTCCCCGTTTCCGCCCCGATTTATTAAGCTCAGTTGCATCCGTTAGCACTCCAGTCATATTCGTTCACAGAAGACTCTAAGTATTATCATCAAAAAGTGAAATGGCGGAAAAATCATCCAGCAATCAAGAATATCTCGCCCAACCCCCGGCACCGTGTTGTTGGGCAGGCACTCTTCATGAAGGCAACCCCCGCGGCGATGTAGAAGACATCTTGGAGGTGCCCACTTACGTCGTCCGCCCGTCAGACGTGAAGCGCGCCCTACCGCCCAACGGACATGTCATCCTTTACTTCCCGGACGTGTGGGGCTTGTCCGTTAACGCCAAGTGCATCATGGACGGCTTCGCGTCCTCGGGATACACGGCGCTTGGCATGGACTTCTTCCGCGGCGACCCCATCTCCAAGTACCGCAACGCCAAAACCGATCCGTTGCCGGAGGGGTTTGACATGGCGGCCTGGCGCTCCAAGCACTGGAACTTTGCTACGGAAAATGTTCCTAAGTGGACGGCGGCGGTTAAGGAGAGATTTGGTGCCGAATTAAAGGCGGAGACGGGCAAGGAGACCAAGTTCGCTTGCGTTGGATATTGCTTCGGTGCGCCTTTTGTGTGCAATCTGCTCGCTGGGGCTGGTGGCGATGGGGAGCCGGTGGTTTCCGCTGGTGCATTTGCGCACCCGACGGCGTTGAAAGAGGAACATTTTACCAGCATTAAGAGTAAGTTTGGCCCTAAAAAAGCTGAGAAATTCTCCGGCCTGTCCACGAGGCAGCCAACCTGGCATGTATGAGCACAACTGTTTCGTTGTTGCCATGGCTCAGCGCGTCATTATTCCATCATTACAGGATCGAGACGGCTGACCCGATTTACCACAGAGCCTCTTCTACTGTCATGCGCTGAAAATGACCAAGCATTCCCGACTGAAGCAAGAAGGAAAGCAATTGATTACCTTCAAAGAGAGAAGAAGATTTATCACCTTCAGGTTTTCCAAGGCGTCTCACACGGTTTCGCCGTGAAAGGAGATCCAACAGAACCTTACCAGCGTGAGTCTCAGCAGCCAAAAGACTTTTACGTCATCTAAGATGATTTTAGCTAACTAAAAATAGTTGTTGTTGTTGTTGTTGTTGTATTTAACGCCGTGGCGGCCGGGCTAGAGCCCTTACCGCAGACCTCCCGAAGGGTATATGGCGTGGAGGGCCGTGAGCCAAGGCTACCTACTCTACAGTACGTCGTCTCTTTACATCGTCCTCCAAATCATGCCTTGTGGCCACTACGCGTTCTGTCTGTCCCCGGTTCCCGCTGGTGCCCCAGTTTCATTCTTTCCCAAATCGTCCCTTGGAATCGGGAGGTTCTTTGTAGTCCGCACTCACATCTACCTAGGTGTGGATGCTGCTACCGCAGACAGATCTTCTGGAAGAAGTCCGTCACGCGGAGAAAGGCCTCGAAGCCTCGTGGGTCGGTGATTAATCTCTTGAAGTAGGCCTCGAGAGATCCCATAGGACCTATGGGCTCGGGCATACTGCGAGAGTGGAGGGTCGGCCACCGTTGCCTCCTCGCCAGCGTTAGTCGACAGTAGACCAGGTGGTCCACGTCTTTCGCCTCTCCACAAGAGCACATCATTAGAGCGTCGTCGTGGTTGAAACGTCGGTGATATTGCTCGAAGTCCCCGTGACCCGATCGTGCCGCCAGCAGGTGA